AAAGAACTCACGGGTCACTCTTGCTGTCCTGAGGGCTATACGATCATATATCACCTTTCAGTCATTCAGCCCCACCAGAAGGGCAGGGGAATGACTGGAAGCCGGCAGCTTACTCTGTCTGTGGTGCCTGTTCTAGGAGCTGCATTTCACCAGGGACATTGTGGAGTCAGGACTGGCTGGGGACAGCAATCTCTACTACATGGCACTTATTGAAAGGGGCACAGGTAAGTCGTTGCTCTCCTCATGACAGTGGTTCTGGTCAAGGGGAGCGGCTGAGAATCAAACGTACCTGACAGTTGTTCGAGAGAAGCAAAAGATCTTGGAATCTTGTCACAGAGACTTAGCAAATAGTGATTGTGAGAGCTACTGTTCAGTGGAAGACTACTTCTGCAGCACAGTTACATCCATGTTTTTTTCATTTCATTGTCACAACAATCTTTGGGGCAGTAATACCATTCTTATTTTATAGTTGAGGTTATAAACCCAGGCTGACCTCTGAGCCTGAGCTCCCCACCTTTTGCCTTACTGTTTGTAGCATCAGACCGCTCTTCCTTTCCCCGTCACTGAAGGGCAGAGGAGTCACTCTTGGGTTGTAAAGGGCAGGGTCACAGGACCTCTGTCCCTCTTCTGCAGTCCCTGTACTCTCTTCAGAGGCATTCAGGCATTGAGACTTGTGATTCCTCATCCTTCTGGCATCTGACTATGCCGGGGCTTCCTACTGGAGCTACTCAGATGCTGTGCTTAGGCTGTTGTGCTGTTATCTCAGCCCAGGCTCAGTAGGCCTGGCACTGCCCATATGATATCACCTCCCAGGCTCACTGCTATAGATGGCCAAGCGAGGAAGTTGTCTGTGTTGCTGTATTATTTCATTTTCAGGTGCTGTAACACCATTCCTAAGGCTGGGGACTCTATAAAGTAAAGAGCAGAGCTCTGGGTGAAGGTCAGGTTGGAGGCTGAAAGTCCATCATCAGGTGGCCCCATCTGTTTGGTCTCTGGTGCGGGCTTCATAGTGAGTGGTATCACAGTCATAGGATCATGTGTGAAAGAGATCACATGGTGAGACAGGAAGCCAGAGAGATTCAGGAGCCAGGCTTGTTTTTTTGTTTTGTTTTGTTTTGTTTGTTTTTTGTTTTGTTTTTTGTGAGATTAGGTATTGCTAACTTAGTTGCTCAGCGTAGGCTAAAACTTGCCATCCCTGTTTCAGCCACCCTTGAGACCACCACACCTGGCTTTGGTTTGACCTTTTTCTAACAACTTTCTGTTTCAGGGGCTAATCGGAGTCTTGCAGAAATACATTAATCCCTTCAGAGAACAGTACCCTCTTCCTAAAACCTAATCGCCTCTCACTATGCCTTACCTCTCAAAGGTTACACTGCCTCTCAGTACCACCACACCAGGGGCCATCTTTCTAGCATGTGGACCTTTTGGAAGGCAGCTATGCTCACCATTATACCACCAGTGCAGACCACATGGACCTTTTGGGGGGCACACCATACCAAACCATCACAGGTTCTAAGATATTGCCTGGTGGAGAGGATAAATGTCATCCTGTTGATAAAAACAAAAGCTATCACCAGAAGAAAAAAATAAAGTAATGGAAAATATAGGGTTTTTTTTTGTTGTTGTTGTTGTTTTTTGTTTTGGTGTATTTTTGAGATGGGGCTCACTACATAATTCAGGCTGGCCATATATGTAGCCCAGGCTGACCTCAAACTGAGAGCAATCCTCTTGCCTCAGCCTCCCAAGTGCTGGGATTACAGACGTGCATCACCCCACCCAGCCGACAGATACTTCTTTTGAAGGTTACGAATATGGCTCTGATATCAGGTAGTTCTGGTTAACCTCAGCACTGCTGCTTTGCATCTGTTTAATGTTGGGATGTTTTTGTCAGAGGCCTGTTTCCACATCTGTGAATGGGTATGAGGAGAATTATACCCATCTCATAGAATCATTGTTAGGATAAGATCCAATGTGTGTAAGGGGTTTAGCACTGAACCTGAAGTATAGTAAGGAATCAATAAATATTGGCTACTAAGAATCTCAAAGATGGGTGTGGTGGCGCACACCTGTAATCCCAGCACTCGGGAGGCTGAGGCAGGAGGATCGCTGTGAGTTTGATACCAGCCTGGGCTACATAGTGAGTTTCAGGTCAGTCTCAACTACATAGTGAGACCCTGTCTCAATCCCCCCCCCACCAAAAAAAAGAATCTCAAGCTGGGCAGGTACACACCTGTCATCCCACTTACTCAAAAGAGGGCCGGGGATTTAGCTCAGTGGTTCTGGTGCCTGCCTTGCAAGCGCAAGGACCTGAGTTCGATCCCCAGTACCAAAAAAAAAAAAAAAAAATCACCGCCCCACTTACTCAAAAGGCTAAGGCAGGGCCAGGCATGGTGGCACATACCAGTAGTCCTGGCACTCAGGAGGCTGAGGCAGGAGGATTGGCACAAGTTTGAGGCAAGCCTGAAGTGCACAGCAAGACCCTGTCTCACAAAGAAAAGAAGGAAGGCTAAGGCAGAAGGATTGCAAGTTCAAGGCCAACCTGGGCAAATTAGCAAGACCATGTCTCAAACAGGACCGAGGTTGTAGCTCAGTGGAAGAGCACCCCTACATTCTCCAGAACCACAAACTGTCCTCCCAAAACAAACCAGAATTCCACATAACAAAATGTATAGCTGGGGATTTAGCTCAGTGGTTCCACCACCTGCCTCGCAATTGAAAGATCCCAAAGTTCGAGCCCCAGGACCAAAAACAAAGCAAAACAAAATGTATAAATATAAAGAGACTGGAGAATGTTTATATATTTTCCTCCCAAATCTCTCCCTTTATTATCATAATTAACCTTAGAAAGCAAGCAGTAAAAACTGTTCAGACTACCTACAGATACAATAATTACAGCAATATTTCAAAAGAAAAATTGTAAGCTTTCACATGGAAAATGTCTTAACCTCCTGGCAAATAAGGAAATGGCAGTTAAACTTAAACCAGCAAATTAAACTTGTGGACAAGCCCAAGGTGGACCAGATATCAAGAAGCCATGCCTTTGTGGCACGACAGATAGGAGGTCCTTGGAGAGGCCAGAATTACCAGACCCTCACGTTCTACAATCTGGCAGTGCCATTTAGGAGATTGTAGAACCAGGTGTACCCTGTAGCACTGGGATTAATAGACGTCTGAGCTGGCCTCAGATCCAGTGGGGAGGCTGCCATGCTGGCAAGCTGGGTGACACGCTGAATTTTTTCCCTCCTTCCCCTCTCTTCCCAGCCAAACTCCAGGCTGCCGTGGTGTTGAACCCTGGGTACTCCTCTATCCCACCCATTTTCCAGCTCTGTCTAAATTGGAAAGGCGAGAAAACCAACAGCAACGATGACAACATTCGGGTAAGGCCCACAGCGGGGTGACAGGAGGAGCAGGGAGAGCCCCCTGGAGAGGTGAGGGCATGGGCATTCCTGGCACAGAGGGGCTGGCCAGATTTGGAAAATATGCTGGGGACTGCATGGTATAGCAGAAGAAAGGGCCTAGACCAGTGATGGCGAAAACCTGTAGAGACAGGTTTTGTAACTCAAACCCACTTATTTATCATAAAGTACCAACACCACAATTAAACCTGAATACTGAGGTTTTAGCTTAGAAAGAAACAAAATGGCTGCACTGGGGTGACTTGGCTCACGTGCTGAAAGAGAGGGCCTTGTGACATGCGTTCCATAAGTTTGCCACCACTGGTCTAGACGCACCTCACCTGCTTACCTACCTTAGGTCCCACAGGTTTCTCCATTTATATAAAAGTTGCCTTGAAAAGTCCTCTTGGGTTCTGTGAAGACGTTAATAAACTCAGAAGCATTCTAGGGACTAGAGTGAGATGACAGATAGATGGCCGCATCTGTTACAGTCATGCCTGTTGATGTGGCTTGGTAGCAGCCTCTGGCTGTAGAGTTTGTTT